GGCTCGCGCGTTCGGCCCTGCCTCTTCGTGGCCCTTTTCCTCTGTGCTAGAGCTGCATGCGTCCAACCCGCCGCCTGCGGGCGGGGATCCCGCTCCACGTGCATGTGCGCGCGTGGGGGTGCGCGTCGGCGCTCGCCGGGATGAGCTGCGTTCCGGACGGGCACCTTGGAGCCGCATTGCTTGCGTCCTTCCTGGGCGTCTGCTAAGCTCGTAGGGAGGAGGATGGGAGCTCTGGTCCCCAAACAAATTTTCTGTGGAGAAGTATTTCCAGAGTATAGGCAGCTGTGTTTTTGCTTTGGACGTAATTTCACCTGTCACCTTCATATATGCATGTGTTGTCCAACAGTAGCTGGGTACTGTCTTCAGAGGAGGAACATAAAAGAACTGTGATTTCCTTTGCACCAAAACTGCGACACGGTCTGTAGGCTAGATGAGCAAATCCAACCCTGTGCGACTTGAGCGAAGCAGATAAATATATAATGTTTTCATAAATAACATGGTTTCAGCTGCAAACATGAGCCAAATCTGGTCCAACATGTGGTAGAAGACACGGTCTTACTACAAACGCTACCATAGTCTTTCAGAATCATCTCATTAATGCTTCAAATAGGTAAAAATATCATTAAAGGGGAATCCTGTGTGTGCTATGCTGGAACTGTTCGTCCTAAGCTGTAAGCAGACTGGGCTTGAACCAAGTTGTAAAACAGTCAGCACTGCCCATGGAATATTTGATTAATTAAGACGATATGAAAAATCAACAATAAAATAGCAGCACGAGCATGCACAGAAGCCAAAGGGAGCAACAGCACCATGTCAGTTGAGAGTAATCTGGAGTACAAAATGCTTTGAGATTCCTCTTGCACTCCGTTACTTCAGGCTTTGAGGTATAGGTAAAGTAGTATGTTATCCTAAAACTGTGACATTTAAAATGGTCAGCTTATTAAGCAAAAATGCATATCTGCCATCTTTATTTTAGGAAAGAAGGTTGTGGGAACCTCGTTTCCTCTTCCGGAGCCCTGGTTTTCGTAAAGCATGGCACACTTGCCACCTGAAAATTAAACTGCCACAGAATGGGCCACTTAGCATTGCTGTTGAAAATCTGAGCTCAAGCGAATGTGCTGTATCCAATTTCAGAAGGCCACCCCTGCAGATAGATCCTTCTAGGCAGACTGAATATGAAGTTCATTTATA